GATATTGCTAATTGGGATTTGACTAATCAAACATTATGTTAATGATGTTTAGTTGTTTAGCGTCCTTAATTTACGCGTCATCTATTCATGTTACTTCTTACTTGTATGCAAAAAGAAATCAGATTTTGGCAAATATTTGAAATAGTATAATTAGTCATTCGAAATTTACCTCACACCCAAAGTGACACACCTACAAAACTGTTCGATAAATAGTTAATGCTTTTGGTTTTATAAACTTCAGTGAACGATTCGTATAAATTTTTGAGTGCTAATAATACATCTGAACATAACTTTTGATAACAGTAGCTTTTGAGCAATTTGAGTTTAAAGAAAATTTGCAAATTCCCATATTTGAGAATATTTTGTGAATTTATAATACATATATCCATAAAGGCCTAATAAATTATTTCTGACATTATCACATTATAAATGTTTAAATAACGATGAAAGTGGAAAGAATTTCGTCCGATTAATTATTTTACATCAAATTCTTGCCAAAATTTGATTTCCGTTTTGCATAGAAGAAAGAATATAAACAGAATATAATTAGAAGATGAGATTACGCTGTACGATTTATCGTATACGGTATGAAGGTTCGGAAAATTTTGATTAACTAATAAATGTAAGTACGTTACCTTATCTTTTTCCATATTGTCTATTATTTTTATGCGTATCTTCTCTTTATACAGCAACGCTATTGCTATGTGCCTCGTTTACGCCTATACGATAAACGTACCTCGAATGAAACGTGGTGTAAGGGTCAGCGTCTGCGTGAACATAGCCGTCTATAATCGTAACGTAACATAACACGATCGTTACACTTCCTGAATATTCGATTATTTTTCGGAACGTAATTTCTCGATTCTGATCGCTGTATTAGATTGTCATTGGCCAACTCAATATATCGATAGTATCGCTCGCGTAGTTATTCTCTCCAGTAAGGTACGTCATGATTTTCCCGTGACGCGGTTCAAGGCGCTATGACGTCTAAACGTTACTAATGAGATATAACTCGTTTAGTTTAATTGTTATTTTTCTCTTCGATAAAGAAGATTCTCTTATTTACCTTCCCGAGATGCACTTTTGTTATTTATCGAAGCGATCGCATCTATGTACTAATTAATTCATGTAACTCGCAATGAGTGTTCTAAGAGAAATGTATGCATATTTTATGGATACTAAACTTTAGACTATGACTTTTAACATGTAAATGTCACCCCGAAAATAGGTAAAGGCGACAATTTTTTAAATTATGAGAAATTTATTTGTGCTCGATAAATTTATTAAATTATTGTAACACGTGAACATACCTGATTATAATTTGGTGGTCACGTGACATTGAACTGATTTGTATGTTTTTTAGTTACAGGAACATTTTTAATATAAAGCACCTTGCAGCAATAAGAATATGGAAATTTGTATTTAAATGCTTTCTTTGTAAGATTTCCAACATCTTCAGAAGTTATATCAGCTTTAGGTTAAATGTGCTACCAACCCCCAAACGAAACCATCTTACATCGTGGCACCTGAAGTTAGGTGTCCCAGCAAATGTTTCTATTTATGGTGAAGCGATCATTTTTCTAATACATTGCTACACATGTAACAACAGTATTTAAACACGTGTAAAAAATTTTCCAAGTATCAAATAATTTTTATTAAATATCCGTTTTTTGTCCGAAAATGAATACAAATGTTTTAACTTACAAAATTATTGAAAACATTTCTTATCTTCAGTCGTTGTAACATTTTGTTATATCTTATCACATATTTACAATATTGTGCAGTTTTTCGTTTAAAAAGTTTGTTGATAAAAAATATTTGTTTATTGTTATTTTTTCACTCAAATAAGTTAATTTTTTAATTTAGAGCACTATTTATGGGAATTCAAAAACATATTTTCTTCGCTAATAATATTTTTTTACTGCCACCATTTTTATCCCTATTCTTAGTCGTCCTATTCCTTTTATTATTATTACACGATTTAAAATTTAAAACATACTTTAAAACGCGGTTATCAACTTTTATTTCGTCAACTACTCGTTCAGCTGAATTAATTCAGAAGATTGTGCAAATATAATGATGTTTCGTATCGTTTTTATCACGCGAATTTCAATAATTCGTTTTTTTTATAACAATATAATGCAACATGTAACGATATTATATCCCTTTTATTCCGGTAATTCAATAGTCTACGACGAGCCAACAGTTTCAGGACTTGTTGTAGGTCGCGGTCATATAAGCGGATAGTTTCGTGGTTATATATCCGAATAACACCGTACGTATTTCGTCTGTTTTCTGTACTCCATTAAATACAATACTGACATTATGTTAATGACGTTTACTTGTTTAGCGTCCTTAATTTACGCATCATCTATTTATGTTATTTCTTACTTGTATGCAAAAAGAAATCAGATTTTGGCAAATATTTGAAATAATATGATTAATCATCCGAAATTTACCTCACACCCAAAGTCACACACCTTCAAAACTGTTCGGTAAATAGTTAATGCTTTTGGTTTCATAAACTTCCATGTGCGATTCTTAGATTTTTGGGTGCTGATTATGAATCCGTTAATAACTTTTGGTAACAGTAGCTTTCGAGCAATTTGAATTTAAACAAAATTTGCAAATTCCCATATTTGAGAATATTTCGAGAATCTATAATGCAATAATCCATAAAGGGCTAATAAATTATTTCTAACATTATGTCATTACAAATGTTTAAATAACAATAAAAGTGGAAAAAATTTCATCCGATTAGTTATTTTATATCAAATTCTTGCCAAGACTTAATTTCCGTTTTGCATAGAAGGAAGAATATAAACGGAATAGAATTAGAAGATGAAATTACGCCGTACGATTCATGGTATACGGTGTAAAAGTTCGGAAATTTTTGGTTAACTAATAAATGTAAGTACATTACCTTATCTTTTTCCATATTATCCATTATTTTTATGCGTATCTTCTCTTTATTCATAAACTGTATTGTTTCGTAGAAGCTTGAAGATTGCGAAGTGTTCTATCAAGAACTGAGCTTTGTCTACGTAACGGTTATGATTCACATGTGACTAATCGTAAACGTGGGTGTGTGTAACTGCAATGAAAGGTAATGCAACCCGTCTTTTTCGATTATTGTAGTCTCGATTATTTTGCGAAAGGTAATAGCACCATTTTTCTAAAACTACAAGGTTATAGATAAGGATATGTAGATATCTTTCTTTATTCGAAACGAGATAGAAATCATTTTTAAGCATTTCAAGGTGAAGAACAGTACCGTAATCACGTTAATAGGATGCCCTGGGACTCATTTTGTTAAATTGTGTATATTGATTGAAAAGATTCTCTTCTGTCGAAATTTTAGAGAAATAAAGGAATATGTCATGAACAAGTATGACAAATAACGATATATTGCGGGAAGATGTTAATTCGCCTTCACAGAGAACTGACAATATTTTTAAACGTACAAATGATTGAGAGTTTTGATTGCGACACATGTTCGGAACACCGTTGACTAATATGTTTGTTATTTAGTTTGGAACCATATTCACTACGCATTCCTCGAAAGATACCGTATCGCAACAAGTATAACAGAGATCAAGCATAACGATGCTGAAAAATATCGTATGTTACGAGGAGACATCAGGGTCGACGGGAAACGGATTTCCCTGAAACTTGGATTGTTTAAAGATCACATACCTACCTTAATCAGGCAAAGCAGTAGCGCACGCTTCTCAAAATTTTCCGAAAAAAGTGCATCGGAAAATTGTGTTATTTTGTCATAAAGAGTTCGCGTTAACAACTGAGATCAAACAGCACAATAGCTAACGGCGTAATGTCAAAGAGTGGTACACAATAGGTTGGTGGATGGGAATTCATTTTGGACATTATTTTTTTTTCTTTCAATTTATTCCAATCTTAATTTTAAGCATAGCATTTATAAAATCTGCATCAATGAACAGTTACTTTCATTTTTAAAATAGAAAATGCATATTTTTTATTTGTGGGCATTGGGGAAAATGATGAACACAAGAGACAATTGTGCATCATCCAACTTTTTATTCAAAATATTCCATTCCCTTTATGTTTCGTTTAACATAAAGGGCGTGGTAAGGTAAAATGAAATATCAAATTCTACTATTTTTTCTAGTTAATAAAATGCAGCAGCTCCTTCAAAAATTCAAGGAGACCACAGATATGGTCAATATTTTATGCCAGAGAAAATTTAAGCCCTCCTTCAGTGCAAAATCAGACCAAAAATAATGGACAAAGATTGTCAAAAAATACTGACTCCGTGCTAACATTTCAGAGTTATTTTACTATTATAGTAGAATGGTATCAGTATCTCTTTAAAAAGTCTTATTATTTTTAAAAATCTGTTATCCGCAAACTGAATTGAGTCAAATTTGAACACATAATTTGTTCGAGTAATAAAAGAAAAGACATTGTTAATGCGACAATATTTATTCAAGTGTTAAATGTAATAGTACAAACAGGAGATAATATAGGTTTACTTATTGTAGGTAATAATTTTAAAAATACTTTCTGACAAACTTATGGATTTCTGGATTTCCACGATTCAACAAGATCGTGAATACATTCTGCTGTACGTTTTTCGTCATCCTTGGATGTTTCAGGCTGTGCTGCTTCCAATGTGTCATTTCTTTGCCGCTCTTCAGAATTAAGATACCACGATTTTAAAATGAGCAAATCGTGCAATAAGGGCATACTAGATAGCGCATCAAAGTGAATGGTCGCTATAAAACTGAGTGACTGTCGACTTAACAGTGTTTGATGGAAGAACTTGGAGTACGATGGGAAGATATGATGTATGCTTTCTGCATTCGATTCGTCAGTTACAAAAGCTTTAATATATTTCATATGCATATCAAAAATTTCGCTGAAATTGTACTCGTTCGCTAACATAGTATTATCCCTAACAAACGTGGATTCATAATTAAAATCGTAGAAAGTCATAGTACTCCAGAGCACCGGAGTACTATGGCATTCAAGTGTATAGTTAGGTGGATATTTGAGAAGTTTGATTGTGAAGATAATTCCATGAACCTTGTGGTCGTGATTTTCTCTATTTAGGCCGCTAATCAGTAGTTGGCAAGCGTCTAATGCCGTTGTGACATGTCGAAATTCTGCGAACTCATATTTAGTAACTCTCAATCTAGTCCCGTAATGTCTATTGTAGTACAAATTATCAATATCAAAAGTGTCAATATACCCAGTAGAACACACCTTCACCAGCGATATCCACACCGAAAACAGGTCCTTCTCAGAATCCCGGAACCTGTCCTCGGACGTGAGAACAGAGGCATCTGAATGATACAAGTACAATTGCGCTTCTATACCCCGATTAATTGCTATATTTCCATCACAATTACATACGTATTCCTTTTTTTCGCTGTCCGCATTTAATGATTCCAAAGGAACAATTTCGTTACTCATGGTTACTTCATGATACGGTTTTGTATTACACTTCACCATGGAGAACAATAACTTTATCGCGTGTGGGACTATTCCAGGATTATCCTTATTTCCCATAATTGTATACGTTTTCCCTGAATTAGGCAATCCAGCTACAATGACTGTGGAACTTTCACCTTTGACAAAATTAATGATTCGTTTACATACAACCTTGTCGAACACATCTGTTTGCGATGAATTTGCCTTAAAAATTCTTGGGAGTAGATTTGTCTTATTTGTTTTTTGACTTTCTTCAATGAGATTAACTATTGAATCCATTAAAATATGGATTGAACTCAGCATTTTTAACGGTTTGATTCTGACGTATGTTTCGATTGTAGGTTGAAAACGTGACTCCGGAGACGAAGTTGATGCTATCGCACTCTACAGGAAAAGAATACTAGTTTAGTTGTGAAACAAAAATGTCTGTACAGAGATTAGGAATTATGTAGAATGCTTGCAGTAACAAGTTTCGATTGCATGCAGATTTGTTTCTCGAAAAATTTCAATATTCATTTTGCAACTTCATTTTTCGCATCGAATGAGAAATAATTCTGACAAGGCACATCACCCAATTATTGGCCTTCTAAAGCTGAAAAATTAGCATTTTTAATTTTTTGTCAAGGCCTACTAGTTCCCGAGATATTTGGGAAAATAAATTTTTCAACCCCAACTTTATGTTGGCCATTTCAAAGTAGATATTCGCTCATAAAAAAATATGTGTCAAATATTTTTTCCAGTTCTTTACAACATAAAAATTTCATTGAAATAGGCGGTTATTAATTGGATGATGTCCCGTGTGAGAGGAATCGCGATTCTGCATAAACGTGTTTGGAAAAATTCCTATGTTCAAAGTTTAATAATTAATTTAATTCACTAACTTCTTATCTAAAATCATTTGATAAATATTTTTTATAATTGTATAACTGTGAGTCGAAACTTGTTTTGCCAAAGAATAAAACTGCAACTTTTAATTCAAACGCGTTTAATTAGTGATTATAATTTATTTTTCAACACTACTCCTACCGACACTTCACGTATACCTGTTCCTTCCGCGACGGGTCAAATGACCGGTAAGACAGACTACTAATCTTTCTTAAAAAATAAACAATAAAAACAGAAGTAAATATAGAAAAAAGTATAATATGCATGTTAAAGAAAAAGTAATGAAGTTTAAACTCGTTTCAATTACGTTTTATACGGGAAATTTCAATTGAAATTTTGAAAACGGTTATTTGACTGGCTACGGTAGGAATAGTGGTAATTTAATATCGTATAAGTTAATTTTAGTATTTAATTATAACTTTTTTATAGTATTCGTTAGAATTTAACTATCTGAACGTTATGTAATAATGTTTAAAGCTATTAACTAAATTTACGCGTTGCTCGGAAAAGGCACTGTTAGACACAAATCGTACAACTTAGTTACTCTTCTAATTTTGAATAAAAAATATCTCGAAATCGATAATAAATTTCTGTTTATGTTACTCCTTACTTGTACGTAAAAAGAAAAAAATTTTTGCAAATATTTAGATTGCACCCAAACCCGTACACCTACAAGACTTTTCGATAAATTGCTAGTGCTTTTGATTTTATAACCTTAAATGAGTGATTCTTATCGATTTTTATGACTATAAATTTGTAAACTTATTTCGGATAGTAGTTTTTGAAAAATTCGAAACAAAAATTGCAATTTTCTAATTTGAGAATTTTCTGCAGATTTGCAATTAATTCGCAAAAAACTAGTCAATTACTTTTGATACCAAATGATCCTACGACTGCCTTGGGTGATAATACAAACTCTTATTACATTATAAATATTTAAAAACTTTTAAATTATGATCAAGATCAAAAAGGGTATCTAATACGTGTCGATATTTGTTAACATTTTTCTATACTTCTTTTTTAACGAATAACATCATTTTATATACGAGCAGGTCAGAATAAAATGTAGCCAAACCGCGCAGTAGAGAAAATAGCTGTACGAAGGAAAACATCGGAGGAAGTTTCGAAATAATGTTTTGTTATAAATATACAGAAGTAACAATTTTGTGTAACAGGTTAGAACCAGAACTGTAAATCGTACGTTAGTATATTGATCGTTGATGCTGAGAAATATCGCTGTTATCGCGCGTTTTGTTTCGAATCAAGAATCAAAGTATACACTACGGCACCAGTAGTTCTCATTGCAGACGGTGATTCTGCCTAACGTGTTCGCTTCACGATTTCGTCGATGCATATTACAGCCAAGTATTGGATTTAAAAACACTATTTGGCGTCCTTTATTGCAGCTCTTCACAGTCACGATTATTAATTTATAAAGTAAATAGAAAGACTTTAGCAAAAATTGAGATATTTTGAGTATCCAGTTCACTTCGATTATTTAAACATATTTAAGTATCTATAATATAAGAACAATTTGCGTCGCTCTATCGAGAAAATCAGTAGAATAATTTATTCTATTTCTCTACTCTAATAGACTAATTGAATATGATACAAGTACAACATCGTAAAATAACTTTAGTCTGTAATTATAATAATCTGATATTGCTAATTGGGATTTGACTAATCGAACATTATGTTAATGATGTTTACTTGTTTAGTGTCCTTAATTTACGCGTCATCTATTTATGTTACATCTTGCTTGTATGCAAAAAGAAATCAGATTTTGGCAAATATTTGAAATAGTATGATTAATCATCCGAAATTTACCTCACACTCAAAGTCGCACACCTACAAGACTGTTCGATAAATAGTTAATGCTTTTGGTTTTATAAACTTCAATAAGCGATTCTTACAGGTTTTTGGGTGCTGATTATGAATCCGTAAATAACTTTTGGTAACAATAGCTTTCGAATAATTTGAATTTAAACAAAATTTGCAAATTCCCATATTTGAGAATATTTCGAGAATCTATAATACAATAATCCATAAAGGGCTAATAAATTATTTCTAACATTATGTCATTATAAATGTTTAAATAACAATAAAAGTGGAAAGAATTTCATCCGATTAGTTATTTTACATCAAATTCTTGCCAAAATTTGATTTCCCTTTTGCACAGAAGGAAGAATATAAACGGATTATAATTAGAAGATGAAATTACGCTGTACGATTTATGGTATGCGGTGTAAAGGTTCGGAAATTTTTGATTAACTAATAAATGTAAGTACGTTACCTTATCTTTTTCCATATTGTCTATTATTTTTATGCGTATCTTCTCTTTATTCAGCAACTGTATCGCTAGGTGCCTCGTTCACGACTATACGATAAACGTAGCTCGAACGAAACGTGGTGTAAGGGTCAGCGTCTGCGTGAACATAGCCGTCTATAATCGTAACGTAACATAAGACGATCGTTTCACTTCCTGAATATTCGATTATTTTTCGGAACGTAATTTCTCGATTCTGATCGCTGTATTGGATTGTCATTGGCCAACTCAATATATCGATAGTATCGCTCGCGTAGTTATTCTCTCCAGTAAGGTACGTCATGATTTTCCCGTGATGCGGTTCAAGGCGCTATGACGTCTAAATGTTACTAATGAGATATAACTCGTTTAGTTTAATTGTTATTTTTCTCTTCGATAAAGAAGATTCTCTTATTTGCCTTCCCGAGATGCACTTTTGTTATTTGCCGAAGCGATCGCATCTATGTACTAATTAATTCATGTAATTTGCAATGAGTGTTCTAAGAGAAATGTATGCATATTTTATGGATACTAAACTTTAGACTATGACTTTTAACATGTAAATGTCACCCCGAAAATAGGTAAAGGCGACAATTTTTTAAATTATGAGAAATTTATTTGTGCTCGATAAATTTATTAAATTATTGTAACACGTGAACATACCTGATTATAATTTGGTGGTAACGTGACATTGAATTGATTTGTATGTTTTTTAGTTACAGGAATATTTTTAATATAAAGCGTCTTGCAGCAGTAAGAATATGGAAATTTGTATTTAAATGCTTTCTTTGTAAGATTTCCAACATCTTCAGAAGTTATATCAGCTTTAGGTTAAATGTGCTACCAACCCCCAAACGAAACCATCTTACATCGTGGCACCTGAAGTTAGGTGTCCCAGCAAATGTTTCTATTTATGGTGAAGCGATCATTTTTCTAATACATTGCTACACATGTAACAACAGTATTTAAACACGTGTAAACAATTTTCCAAGTATCAAATAATTTTTATTAAATATCCGTTTTTTGTCCGAAAATGAATACAAATGTTTTAACTTACAAAATTATTGAAAACATTTCTTATCTTCAGTCGTTGTAACATTTTGTTATATCTTATCACATATTTACAATATTGTGCAGTTTTTCATCATTTTTCTAATACATTGCTACACATGTAACAACAGTATTTAAACACGTGTAAACAATTTTCCAAGTATCAAATAATTTTTATTAAATATCCGTTTTTTGTCTGAAAATGAATACAAATGTTTTAACTTACAAAATTATTGAAAACATTTCTTATCTTCAGTCGTTGTAACATTTTGTTATATCTTATCACATATTTATAATATTGTGCAGTTTTTCGTTTAAAAAGTTTGTTGATAAAAAATATTTGTTTATTGTTATTTTTTTCACTCAAATAAGTTAATTTTTTAATTTATAGCACTATTTGTGGGAATTCAAAAACATTTTCTTTGGTAATAATATTTTTTTACTGCCACCATTTTATCGCTATTCTTAGTCGTCCTATTCCTTTTATTATTATTACACGATTTCGAATTTAAAACATACTTTAAAACGCTGTTATCAACTTTTATTTCGTTAACTACTCGTTCAGCTGAATTAATTCAGAAGATTGTGCAATTATAATGATGTTTCTTATTTATGTTTTATTCCGGTAATTCAATAGTCTACCACGAGCCAACAGTTTCAGGACTTGCTGCAGGTCGCAGTCATATAAGCGGATAGTTTCGTGGTTATACATCCGAATAACACCGCACGTATTTAGTCTGTTTTCTGTACTCCATTAAATACAATACTGACAGTACAATCTTAAACAATATTGCAAACCTTATTGTTTACGGGTGTCTCGTCATTAATGCATCTTAAATTTTATACCATGTACCGAAAAATAAAGGACGTCTGCTTTAAGATAAAAATTAATAAAAATTAAAATAAAAATATTCATATCCTACCACATATGTAGCTACGTCGAGAAAATGGAGAGGCAGGCATGGGAAGAGCGCACATGACATTGACTGCTCGATAAACACACTTTCTGTAAGAGTGTCTCCGAATCCCTCAAACCGAGTATTTATGAAGCGAGTAATGACATAACTGATAGAAAGATTCTACTCTACTCTTCGATAATGCGTCCACGTACCTTAGCATCCCGACTCTTCATTTCCTGTCTTCTGGGCACCGTGTTCTCCCCATCGGCGTACACGAGGTTCCTGATGAATCCGTTGAACCGCGGCTCAAAAATCACGCTCGGTAACGCGAGCAACGTGAGCTTGCTGTTGTACCAGCTGGGCATGCCACCGACGTAGACGTCGGAATTTCCCATCAGTTTCCCAAACTCGAATTCCTTACCCCTCGACGTCGAGACGGCGCTGACGCCGTCCACTGTCAGCGTGGTGTTCTCGTTGCACCTGGTGATCTGCACCTTGTGCCAGTGGCCGTCGCCGAGATCGTGGCCGACGGTGACGATCTGCGCTCCTCCGCCAAGGTTGTATCTCAGCCTGAGCGCGCTTTCGACCAATTTCACCTCGAAGAAGTCATAGGTACCGCCGTCGTCCGTGTACAGCAACAGACCGTTGCCTTGTTCGGTCTTGAACTCGAACTCCAGCGTGCCATTCAGGCCTGCGTTCCACTTTCTGAATTGGGCATAGCTCGTGGCTGAGCCCTCCAGCACAAAGGACAAGGCTACCTGGCTCAGCAACACCACCAGGAACGGCAATAGCACGCCCACGTTGCTGCTCACCTGCGAGAGATGCATGCTTTCTGTTCGTAGCTGAATTCGCTGCTAGATGATGTTCATCAGATTGTTCGTGAACGCGAATTTCACCGGTGTCGCTTGAACGGTTACTCGTCGTGTTTCCTGTTCGTCACATCACCAACGAAGGTGTACCTCGGCAGTTGGCGAGCTGACGAGCGCGGGTCGTAAGGTTGTCAGACTCGAGCGTAACGCGGGTCGATCAGCTCGTTGTTGTACTCGCTAGCCACGTTGTACCGGCTGCATTCGCACGTGAGCACGCACGCGCGGATCGTCTTCGACTGCGAGCGTGGCCGACGAATATGGAAAGAGAGAGTAACTATGCACACGTCCGTGCGAAATTGTAGCCGAGTCTTCTCTTCGCCGTCCTTTTATGACTTGTGGTAGACAAGCAAACGGTTACAGGTTAGCTTCGGGTAGCGTCTACACCAAGGACGAGTAGTTTTGATGAATCGAAGCTCTAGAATTTTTCGTACGTGAAATGCGAGAGTGGTATAGCTGTAAGGTTATATTATCTTGCTAATGAAGGGATAGAATAAGTGGATGATCGAAAGTTGACACTGGACACGCTGGGACCACACGTTGCCACCAGGTTTCTTCCGTTGAACCGCGCACATACACGCTGAGTTACACACTTCTGATGCGGGTCAATCGACCGAATGCTCCTTTGGGAGAGTATCACTTCACAATCACGTTACGCACAATTGATGTTGATGATTCTTTTCCGGCCACTAGTAGATAAGCGAGTCAACACTTAGACCGCGCTTGATCGATTCACTTTTCCTAATTGGATCGATGGAACCTTGTTAGCAAGATTTTCGTTCCGCTGTCCGCGTTTTCACGTCAGGATTATGTTCGTTTCAATTAAATCCGATTTGTTAACGTTCCACAGTTTGACCTATTCGACAGAGAGTTTCCTTTAACCGAACATCGAAGGTCGGTGCATATCGTTGTTCACGGAGGGAAAATTTGAACGTTACGAAATCGCGTAGTATCAGCGTCGCTTCGTGCGAAGGGACTCTAGCGACGACCTAACCTAAGGCACCTCGAGGCGCCTCGTACCACGTCGGTGACACACTTTCTCCGTCTGTCCTCTCGACGTCGTCGTCTCTTCAAGCACCCCTCGAGCTCCTCCACTTGGTTGATTCCCGGTGTGTCACCTCTTTCTTCTCGTGCGATAGGCCTCCTATGGTGTTCTCGAGCTGGTCGCCCAATTACTCGTAGCTCGATCTCTCCAGGGTCACGAGAACTCCGATCGACATCGGATCACGCCTGACCTCGAACCGCGGTTCGGTAATTCTACCGAACGTCGATGTGCCTCCCGGTACCCGTGACACGACCTCGACCTCCTAATACACGGTGACACGAGCACTTTCACCCACGCACCGTAAACTCGCGTTTATCCTCGTTGGTCGTTTTCGAATCCGTCGATTGGTTCCCTCCGTTTCCCGCACTGCCACGATGTTCCTCCGCGTTGTCACGGACGGTTCTTGAACGAACAGAACACGAGACACGTAAAATCGGCCACCGCACTATGGCGCGACTACTTTCACGGACGCGACCTCCGTACGGCTCTCTTGCTGGCCTACGTTCCGCTGCTTTCCGCTCGACAAACGTTACTGCACGTCGTCCATCCAGTGTACGTTTGTTTCGCGATCGATCCGTCTCTCGTGGCTCGGCGTACGCCCCATTTTTCTCGTCCGGCCAGTGGGTTCAGCTGGTAGCCGGTGCACCTGAAACGTCGGCCAGCAACCGTTCGCGCCGGCACCGTTTCTGGCTGGGCCGTCGAGCGTGTCCGGATACGTTTAATCGTCGGATACGTGGTGAGAGCGTAGCACCAGCGCCGATTACGGAGATGGAACAACCCTCTCGACGGCTCCCGGCTTGATACTGGCCTGGCGAGAGGAGAACACTCGGTTGAGACGGTCGGTCGGTTGACCGACGACGTTGGTGCGACGCCCCCGGCACGACGCCGACGCCTCGCGCCGTTTCCATGCGCACGCGCCCCACGGTTAGACGCGGAACGAACGCGCGGAGAAAGTGACAGAGATGACGCTATACTTGCTACACTCGGGTCGGAAGAGGACAACAGGCTCCACGAAGATGTGGTGGAGGGTTCCTCTTCGTGTAGTCTGTCTGTTAAGCGGGTAGGCGAAGCGTAGAGCGGAAGTGTGGTGGTGCGTAGACGCAAAATTGCTCGCGGCACCCTTCGGGCCGCCGAGAAAAACGCTGGCAACGGGATGCTCGCGGTGAAAAATTGCTCGCTGAAACCGATGATCGAGAAAGTTTCGTTGTTCCGCGTGCGTTCGGTTTATTCTTTGACCGTTCCTCACCTATTCTGATTTCGATCTAGCAGTATCGTTTTTGTATTGTCCCGCTACGTTCTGTTCACCAGAATAGAGAAGAGGTATCTGCATCGAAGGGGACTTCATGGATCTCTAATATGATGCGCTTCTGTCTAATCTATATATTCGTAGATTTAAGGAATTTAGATCTTTTAACCCTTAATCGGGTGTAGCGTAAATGGATCGGTATTCGTTGCAATATGCGGTGTTGAAACAAAATCATTTCAATACTTGTATGCCAGATAGAGGGGGAGATAGTAAACGTAAGAGAGGGAGATAGTAAACGTAGGTCGAAAGGTCAACCGGTTCTGACGAGAGCACCTCGCGACCTTTGAAATACCGATTTCCCTCCAACTCTGTATAATTACAGAACACATAGATAGTGATAATTCTACAAAACGCGTAACTTTGTAAAAGAGGCGAGGAATTTTTTAAAAATTTCGAGAATTGTTGTCTTATGAAAAAGTGCTTTATTAACCCCAAGACCGTGAATTCGAGACACACGAATTAAGAAACAAGCACTTTTATAATTTAGCAGAAAGAATTAAGATGTAGGTTTCATACCTAATTTATTTATATTTCGCAAATATCAATAAGTGCATAAACATCCATGGTCTAGTTAGTATAGTTATTTATGAAGTTCCTGTTTTAGAGACTTGTAGCCACTATTCAGTTAATTAGCGTCTGTATCGATGTCCTCTAATTGACACTCGATCCCTGACGACCAGTGTTAACGATATCTCGGCAAACACTCTTTCGCTCGACGTACGATCCTTTTTCCACCAGCACGAAGCCACTCGTTGGCCATAAAAGACCGCAGAGAGAAAAGGGTGGAGGGACGATGAAGGGATGAAGAGAGGGCAGGAACGACGTTAGCCATCTTGGCCGTTCGTGTTGTATCGTTCTCGCGGATCGGTGCTTTTCACGGGCTTGTGCCATGCTTTCTCAGCACTGGCTGGTGCTCGTGTCGGTGCTGTCGGTTTCCACCTTCTGCCAGACACCTACCATCTTTCTACTTGCCTCAACCACCCCGACAACCACCTTTGTACACTCGGCTGCGATGTAGACTTCCTTTGGATAAGGATATACAGTATTCTTCATAATTTTTCATTTTCGTGTTCCTACAACTCTAAATGGTCTTGCCATCGATTCGAAATTTATTTACATACGAAAGTCCTAATATTTTAGACTAAAACTACCAAACCGGTCAAATGACCGCTCCACAAGTTTCTTATTATAAGGTACACATTTTTTTAAAGTACATTCTTTGAAATCAGTAGGTTTCATTTGTTTTCAACAAGGTAAAGAACAAATGTGTGTACTAATTTATGTTTCGTCATTTGTTTATTTATTTTTTAACTTCATTTTTAATTTCAAATTAAGTACACATTATATGTTAGTGTTAATACCTGAAATATCTTGGAATGACTAAAAGTGATTTGTTTGCAAAGTTAACCAAAAATTGTTTAGCAAAAAAATCTGCTGGGAATCCGTTGTTAACACGCAATAACCACAGTATACACAATGTTTACTCCATTTTCTGTATACCAAGAAGTACAATTATTTTTACTGAATACACAGTGTTTCTTTATCGTTAGCGCATCGTGAACTTTCTTCTTTCGTTCGTGTTTTTGTTCACGATTTCGCGGATAATTATCGTTCCCTCCCGAAGGAGAGCGAACCGAAAACGGTGAATCGTTTCTAACGCGTTCAAATATTTACAAAGTATCACCGAGAGTTCCGAAGCAGATTATCGGAGCTAAGTTACAAATGAGAATCTGTGGACGAAAGTTCCGCCGAGTGTTCTACCTTTCTCTACGCCGTTTCCTTTCTACGCGACAGCGGAAAAATTATTAAGACTTCATTTAAATTTCATTCCACCGTAGAAACTTTGTTACGGGTGATATGCAGCCGGAACTTTCCTTCTTCTCGATATGCCGGACAAACTTTCCTACTTCGACGCATTATGTAACGCTAGGATTATTTGCGGCTTGAGCGGATAATCCGTACACGCTGCATAAACGGAATTCTCCTCCTCCAGGTTCCTTTATCTTAATGGCGTTCGAAAGACTTGCCGTGATCGTTTCTGAATTAAAAGATCCGACAAGACTCGTTCTGATGTGATTCGATTCTATTGGGACGAATAACGAGATTTTAGCAATCCGGAAATCTTTTTAATTTTCAAGAAATTTGTATGTACAATATCACTAATTTATAAATTTGTAAATTTCTATATTTTCAAGTCACGTATTGGTAAATTTAAAAATTTGAAATTTCAATATTTCTACATTGAAGAACTTCAAATTTAATAATAATGGTTAGATTTCTATAGCAAGTAACAAAAATCTGTGACTTCAATATTTTTAAATTAAATGTTTCAAACTTCTGTATTCCTAATATTTCTAAATTTTGTTTATTCTAAAATTTTGTTAATATTTCTAAATTTTGTTTGTAAAATAAAATTATTTATTTTGTACATTATTAATATGTTGTATCGCCATCCATGAAGTTTTAAAAACTTCAAAATACTCTGCCAAAAAATGTCATAATGAACGAATTAAAAGGCGAATGATTTTCATCGCAAGCTTCAAATTTCGTTGAAGGTGTATCCTTAAAAACGTAGAAGCTTCTACAGTAACAAGACGAATAATAACGGTAGAATTTTGTCTGTGAAAGGGTTTCGAGATTTTCAATCGCATCGTGTTTTGCATGGATGAATCTGATTTCCATGGAGAATCAGAGGACACGTACGTTGAGAAAGTTTTTTTCTCCTAGAAAATGTATGGAACCCGTAAGAAAGTAACGTTACACGATATAAAACGGTGAGATGAAACGGAGAAAAAGTAATCCCTTAGGGCTGAAACTTGACAAAAGAGGGTATAAAGGGAGAAAAGAGACGCGACCAAAGAGTAGAGAGTGACGGGCTAAAACGACGAGTATTATTCAATTTTACTGAATGAATCTACCTTCTGCGTTCTTGCCTGATTTACATTTGAATGATCAAGTGCACCGAGAAATAAGTAAACCGGCTTCGTTGCAATTGAAACGTTTGCATACATTTCAATGATTGCGAAAATTTCAATTTCTGATAGAAACTTTTGGCAAGTGATCATCTTGAAATGTCATCTCGATGTGTATCTTTTACAAGAACAATAATTTTAATACTATCGATCCAATGTGTGACAATGCTCTTCTCTAACACATTGGAGTTATTAAGTTTGAATTAAATTTTTCATAATTAAATTATGCAAATTGCCGGCTAATTTAGATGTGTCCCACGGATCTACCCTAAAAATTTAAAGTAAAAGGACTCAAAATTGCGGTCTGTGTCGTGGTTCAATCAAAGAACAAATGCAGATCGATTCGTCCCAGGAGCCTCACGTTCGGCAATTATAAATGTGTTCGAAATAAATTGGTAGTTTAAACAGCAATTTTTTATCATAGTAGAAGAAGAATGTGTTCCGCAATTAGAAGTATGATTTCGAATTTGGCGCGTGACAGAGCGTTCAAAATGAAAATTAATTAACCTGAAACGGCAAAATGGCATCATCGATATCGGTGACTTTTCCTTGGTCACGTACACCGTTTTCCAACAATAATTATAAAGTCCACGGCGCCCTACGTTGGCGTGTAATTAACCTACAACGACAACGCCATTTCCTTGAAATGGAAGAAATTTAAATACCAATAACCAAGCCCGCTGGGTGTCTTGGCGAGCTAGCTGAGTGGCTCGCACTCCAGAATCCTGGAGCAATCTAACGAAAGAACCAGATGCCACGGAAAGCTTTATCAAACCACGCTGTGAGGATTCTGCTCGAAAGTGAACATTTTATTTCCGCTGTCTTAGTACAAGGCGTTCCATAACTTATGAAACTTAATCGTGGAATTTAGGCATCACTTTGTTGATCGTTTAACATGGTGACACGCGAGAGGACTGACGGCCATTGATGGATAGGACTAGACTCATACTCTACTTATAGAATTATTCGTTTATTTAAAATTTTCGCAATTTGTTTATTTCAAGTTTTTATTTCAAATTTATTTGAATAAAATGAGTAGTCATTATTTTTGTATTATAATAGAAGTTCGATGTTTTTACATTTCTAACAAGGCATCATCCCAAAGTGTAATGTAGGTCTCGAAAAAATATTCGACACGTATTTTTTTAGCCGTCGACATTCATGTTAAGGGGGTGAAAATAGCCCCCAAAGTAGGGGATGAGAATCACATTTTATGGAATACATATCTTAGAAATCAGTGGAGCTACAAGTATGGTTATAAGTTTGGAAATTAAAAATTGCTATATTATGCAATTTATGCTTTTGAATTCTTGTGTTTCTCAGTTTTTGAACGTTTGAATTTTTTTCTGTGCTTGTTAATTTCTCAACTTTCGAGCAAAAATTGAAGTTTTCGCGTAATTTCTGTGTTTCAATATTGTCAGATATTCGAGTCAGTAAAAGCGAAAATTAAAAAGCTCGAAACTTTTGTATTTCAGCATTTGTAAATTTGATGTTCTTATATGTCTAATATTTTAATAGTCTATTTCCGAGTTGAAAGTTTAGAAATTTTAGAACTATATAGAAATTTTGAGACTTTAATGGTTGGTAATTTGAGAATTCAAGAAATTAAGATTTTGGGAAAATGAGAATTTGAGGATTTAGAAATTCGAGAATTTAATTCGAAATTAAGGGTTTGAAAACTTAGGACTTTGGGAATTTGGGCAAGTAAACACATGGAAATTTCAGAATTTGAGAATTTGAGTATTTGGAAATTTGAGAGTTTGGAAATTTGAGAATTTGGAAATTTGAGAGTTTGGAAATTTGAGAGTTCGGAAATGTGAGAATTTGGAAATTTGAGTATTTGGAAATGTGAGAGTTCGGAAATGTGAGAGTTTGAAAATGTGAGAGTTTGGAAATGTGAGAATTTGGAAATTTGAGTATTTGGAAATTTGAGAGTTTGAAAATTTAAGAGTTTGGAAATTTGAGAATTTGGAAATTTGAGAATTTGTAAATTTGTAAGTTTGGAAATTTGAGAGTTTGGAAATTTGAGAGTTTGGAAATGTGAGAATTTGGAAATTTTAGTATTCGGAAATTTGAGAGTTTGGAAATTTGAGAATATAGAAATTTGTGAGTTTGGAAATTTGAGAGTTTGGAAATTTGAGAATTTGGAAATTTGAGAATTTGTAAATTTGTAAGTTTGGAAATTTGAGAGTTTGGAAATTTGAGAATTTGGAAATTTGAGATTTGGGGACATTGAGAATATGGAAATTTGAGAGTTTGGAAATTTGAGAATTTGGAAATTTGAGAATTTGTAAATTTGTAAGTTTGGAAATTTGAGAGTTTGGAAATTTGAGTATTTGGAAATTTGAGAATTTGGAAATTTGAGTATTTGGAAATTTGAGAATTTGCAAATTTGTAAGTTTGGAAATATGAAAATTTGAAAATTTGAAAATTTGTACAGCTATAAGTTGAAAAACATCAAAATTCCGGCAAAAAACGCAAGAAGTAAAAAGCAGAATGTATTTCACGAACTGTCATTACTCTCACATATCACAATCACACCTATCATGATCCCAACAATTTCTTCGCTTAATTCAACACGTCAGTATTTCAATACTTGTTACTACCTTCTTTTCCCACACACAAATAAATTTCATCAAGAATATTCCATTGTGATAAAAAAAAATATGGCAAATATCGAAGCACATCCATTGTTCAGTAGTATAAGTAGGCGCAGCGTTCAGTAGTACAAGTAGCTCACTAGTCAGACATAGCGTAAATACTGTAAAATTGCCAACAAAGAAGAGCAGTATTATTTTATAATTGTCATGTATTGACGCACACGCGTGCACAACGATGCATAAAAGCTTCGAATAAATACATTCGAAATAACGATACGACCATGACGAAATAATCACTTCGTATAGCAATTCTCCTCTCTCGTATAATTCAACGTTCGATATCGCTTAACGTGGAGGACGTAATTTTCTTTTCGAGCGTGGAATTTATATTAAACGTATGTATGTACCAACCGATTCTGCAGGCACAGCGATATCAGTTTTACTGTCTGCTTCACCTCGACCTCATTTTTTTAATAACTACGACGTACTTGTGTTTCTCTCGATTCTGGCCTCTTCCTACTTAAAAATATCAAACAGAGAAATTGACGGGCTTTCGAGCTTCATGCTTTCCATTTCAATCGTGAAACGTCAGCGGAACATTTGAATATCTAGGTATCCGTCGTTTCAATAACAAAGTCAATTTAATCGATTAATAAGTAGCAACAATAGGGGCTGTTTGTTCGGAACACTAAACGCATTTATTATTCCTTTCATTGTAATACCTTATTCCGGTGTTTGATAATTTGCGCTTTAAACGTGGATTTCAATCGGTTTGAATTCTTTAAAAATGTTTCAATATTGCGGATTCATATTTTTGAATACAGAAATGTAACTTTGAATTGTCAAGTTATTAAATTAAAGACTGATATACCTACTGGAAACCATATTTTTGAATTTAAAGATGCAACTTTGAATTGTCAAGTTATTAAATTAAATTAAAGATTGATATACCTACTTTAGACAATATTTTTTAATTTAAAAATGCAACTATGAATTGGCAAGTTATTAAATTACATTAAAGATTGATATACCTACTTGAGACAACATTTTTGAATTTAAAAATTCAACTTTGAATTGTCAAGTTATTAAATTAAATTAAAAACTGATATACTTACTGGAGACAATATTTTTATCGTTCACGAGATATTTTTTTCCACGCATAATGGAACCAACCTAGGACTTTCGTCATAAAGGCCAGAAAGAATGTTGAAGCTTAAAAACGAGCGAGTTTTCCGTTAAACGCAATTACTATTCAAAGCCAGGTGCTTTCAATCCAAGTCTCAGCACGGCGTTCCACATCTTTCTCTGTTAATTTTCTCAAAATCACCTCTAATTCCGCCCTTCCTGTCTTTAGCCACTTTGCTCTTAACCTAGGTGATATAAACGCGGCGGGGCATTCAAATATTGAGAAATAAATGGAAGCAGAGAGGCAGGATGATCAGACCGCTATGCAGATGAGGAGGGACGTAAACCGAGGGGGAGAAACGCGAGGGGAAACTGGAAAATAGTTCCTGTCGAAACCACGCGACAGGAACGCATATCATTGACCCACCCTTTCGATTTCTCATTTTCTCTGTGTCGTGGAATCGGTGACTGCGAATAGTATCCTTTTTTTACATTTTTTTTCTCTTTTGCGATCGAAGTGCGTTAATTCTGCTCACTGAATTGTGTGGGTAAGTTTTAAATGAGTTCTGACTTTTAACGCAGTAGCCGCTCGATAAATGTCCGCTGGATAAATGTATGCTAGGAACATTCACACGAATTAATATGTGTACTCGCTTCGTGGTGTTATAACAAACGAAATATGTATAATATCATATTTAACTTTCATATTTTTTGACCATATGCAGTATATGAAATGTTTCATTAAAATATTTTGTTACGCAAATGTGAGGAGGTAAGTTTTCATTTTATGGGTTTACTTTGAATTACAATTAAATTGCAATATACTTCGTTTATTTTTAACATTTAAAATTGTAAAAAACTGTAAAAATATATAAATACACTAGAAGTACCATTAATAATATTAATAATAAAAATACATTAAAAATATAACAGTTTATGTTAATCACAACAATTAGAGTGAACAATAAAAATAGTAAATATGAAGTAGTTAAATTACAAATAAATTAATTTATTATTCGGCACAAATGAGTTAAATCAAAAATTCCAATTAAAATTAAATAACTTCGGATCGTAGTTCTCAGTGAATTTTGTTGATCGGAATTGTTTTCATGGTACACTTAAACAATTATTACTCATGAAACTAAACGTTCCTTAATTTTTGTTTAACAAATTTTGAACATTAAAAGAAGGTTTCTCAAGAAATAAATGAAACAAACTACGATCTGAAAGCATTAAAAATTATGAAATTTTCATACCACCGTACGTACTTATAGCATAAGGATTGTCGTAATTGCGCATGCGTATTACCATAGATTATAGAATGTATAAGAGCGAAACTCAAACGCGGAAAAAGAACGAAAACTCGTCCCTCATGAAATAGAGTTTATATTTATTTTTTACTCTAAGGACAAAACACAACGCATTATATCGCATTATGTCGAAGCTATATTCACGTACTATGTATTTATTAACAACGTTGTGTTTTATAACCTAAAGAACAGAAAAATGTTATGAGAATAAGGTAATATGTTCAATTAAAGTCACTTTGATTGATTGGTTTATTTTGTATGAACAGTATTGTAATACATATTATAATATTCTATTTATTGCTTACTTTTATACAAAGAAGTTGGTATTTTTTTAAATATTCCCAAAGTATAATTGTAATAAAATGTACAAAATGCAACGATCACTGTAAATTGTACATTTACAAAGTTATTCAATAAATTGTTAATGTTCCTAATTTTGTTTTGGGTGTTATTTTCTTTCTGTAAGCAATTCTTATATATTTTTGTCAGCTAAATAAGAATATATAAATGTTTTTTGTAATACTTTGAAAAAAGCAGACTTGTAATTTTGGAGATGTTTTATAGATTTCCAATGACAGGATACTTGTTCTTGTCGATTAATGATAACAAGAAACCAACTCGCACTTGAAAGAACAACTAAATTCGCAGGCAACGTAGATGTTAGAAATTAGGATCAAGGTACAACTGAATACATCTCCGGGTTACAACGATATGACTCAGTTATCAGAATATTAAATTATACCTCAACAGACACCTGATGTCATCATATTAATATTAACTCTTTATGGTCTTTATAACTTTGCCCCTAATACAGTTGGACATACTATTTTATTTATTAAAATTTGTTTCATTTTATTCAAACTTATATTACTATTAACTCTTTATGATTTCTATAACTTCACCCCTAATACAGTTCAATATACTTTTTTTATTAAAGTTTGTTACACTTTGTTTAAACTTGTTGCTTCGCTTTAAACTCTTATTTTTAATGTGGATATTACAAACTTATTTCACGAGAGTTGTAAGTTTAACATATATAAAATTTTGTATGTATACTCCAGTATATTTGAAATAATAACATGAATTTCTACAGGTATTTTTGTTAAGAATTTGTACAGTTACAACTGGTGATGATTAAAAAATTTGTTCTGCCTGATTTCATATAGAGTTTCAAATTTTTCTAAAATCAAATGTTTGCTAGGATTTTTATTACAGTGTTTAGAATTTATGTTACAATATTTCTAGTTTTATAAAACTTTTCAATTGCATAACATTTCACTAATTGCAAATTAAATTGTACATTTTTATTAATTGTGATTTATGATTTTAAAGTAATAATGGGAGCATAACTTTTATTCAGAGTTTCTGTAATAAATTGTATAGAAATTATATTAGAATTTAAATGTTTTACGATATGATATATCGTAAGAACAATCGTTGTTATTTCGATGTAAATAATCCCCAAGTTTGATTTAATTAATGACGATAACGTGGTGTGTAATATTCATCGCGGTCGAGGGGAATGTTGTGGCCACCTCGTCGATTCAAATTAATTCTGTTAATCACTGCGTATAATATTACGAATTGCTGAATATTGATTATCACGGGATTGGTAAACAATTATTTGTGCATGCGGTTTAGATACAAAGATGCATATAACGAGAAATTATGTTCCTCTACTTATAGAAACAAATTAACTTCAAAAAATTATTTCTCAATATTTAAATTTACTAAACTTTATAATTTTTAGATTTTCAAATTTGTTTTTCAGTAAAAATCCACGTTTTTAGAAACACTGATTTGATTATGAGGAACTCTTAATATAACAATTATTAGTTTTACCAGTCAAAATCTATGTTTTCAAATTTATAAATTAAAAACTTTCCTGCTTACAGATAAAAAAAATTTGTAATGTTACAAAGTTGTAAACATATATTTTCTAATTTTATCCAATATTGTGTAAGGAAAAACAACGAATAAAATAGATATGGAATTAAAATAAGCTAAAACAAATTTTCAGAATATTTTTTTAAATATGTAAAAAATTGTTACTCGTCATTCAAGTTTCGTGCAAAATTGGTACTTGAACGTAAGAATAAGTAGTATTATACCGAAGAAAAATATCAAACTTTTATTTTAAATAAGAAAATGTTTGTTGACTGTGTAAAGGTGTTCCATGAATCGTTAGACAGATAAGTTTCTTAAAAAAATCAATAATTACGGCAGGATGGCGACAGAAAACTCGAACGAATTCGTTCGAGTGAAGATGTGGGGGAACGATCGATCGTGACTTTATTAGTTTTCAATGGCGCAAAAGGAAGAAAGAAAGGGAAACGAACAGGGCCATAATAACATCGTGCATCCTAGAAATGCAGCCTAAGATATTCCGCGGTCTGTCGAACTGCGAAATGAGCCAAGACACTTCTTTCCCTTCTCTCCCGGTCGAAAATCGAGAACCCCGAACGATTTTATCGATAAAAGTATTCTTTCTTTCCTTTTATCTCCTGGCGATACTCTTCTCCTCCATTTTGGTCAATTTTAATCGGCTTTCAATCGTTTCCATTCCGCATTTTCTCATGGACCATGAATATTGATTTTTATTCATTTTGATAGAAGTATGTTGAGAGAAATATTTGTTTCATTTAATAGTTTTGTTTCAGTCTTGTAGATATTCAAATATCTAAATCTCTAAATTTCTGGATACCTAAATTTCTAGATCTCCAAATTTCTGGACACCCAATTTCCTAGATCTCCAAATTTCTAGACACTCAAATTCCTAGATCTCCAAATCTCTAAATATCCAAATCCCCAGATTTTCAAATTTCTGAACACCCAAATTCCTTGATCTCCAAATTTCTAAATATCCAAATCCCTAGATCTCCAAACTTCTAAGCACCAAAATCCCTAAATCTCCAAATTTCTATATACCTAAATCCCTAGATCCACAAACTTCTAAACACCCAAATTCCTAGACCCCCAAATTTTTGAACACCCAAATCCCTAGACCTCCAAAGTTCTAAACACCCAAATCCCTAGATCTTCAAACTTCTAAGCACCCAAATTCCTAAATCTCCAAATTTCTGAACACTCAAATCCCCAATCTCTAAACTCCTAAACCTCCAAATCCGAACATTTCAGTATTCCTAGATCCTCAAATCCTAAAGTCCTCAAATTCTTAGTTCCTCAAATTCTCAGACCCCCAAATTGCGAGCTTGAAAAATTTGGTTGACATCAACTATTAAAATAAGATATTTTACAAAACAAAATAATTGCTTCAAGTTTCGAGAGTTTCGAAATTTTATAAGTCTTCGGATTCGAGTGCGGAGAGTTTAAAAATTCGGTTCGAACCCATCGCTAGTGTCCATGGTACTCCATGAATCTTCGTATTCCACAATGACGTAGAGCATCACTAGTGTCCGTGTTAAAGTGGCAATATAACGGGAGTCTGCATTCATATACCTGAGCCTGATCAGCATCTTTTTGTTAATATTGTCCGTTCCGAGTCATCCTGTACAGCATAATGTAGCACGGTATGTTTGAACGGAGATAAGTTAATGCAATCTGTGCACAGGGACAGATTATTAAGACTGCATATTAGAACAGTTTTGAGTTTCAATTCTATTAATCCATCTGTAGTTGTAAATTTATGATTTCAGTTCATTGATCTTGTTAATCAATTCTCGCGCAACCGGTAGAGTCGAATTCCCACGTTCGAGACACAAATTTACATTTCGCTTCCTTTTTTCGCCGCGTGTTCTTATTCCGCAGGGTACACGCGATAACGAGTTCGTAACCACGGTAGCCACGACTTTTCTCCTCGAATCGAGTCACGAATCTCGACCCAGTTCTCTCGTCACAAAGGGTCGGCACAGAATACATCCTCGTTTAATTTCAGCCCACGACGAAGCACGTCCGAGTGTGTCATGTGCCTGGCCAGCCTCGGAAACCGGAAAAATCAAATCGACGAAAGTTCATGGAAACCGGAAAAATCAAATCGACGAAAGTTCATAGAAACCGGAAAAATCAAGTCGACGAAAGTTCATGGAAACCAGATGTATAAGCGGTAGCAGAGGGTAACTGATTCCTTCATCATTTCTCAACCCCTTGCAATATAATGGCGAGCTATACTCGTGATTCCTGTATGGTAAACCTTTCTCATATTTTTAGCAAGCTAAAAGACTCAATACTTGGACATTTATTGTGGGAAAGGAACATTACACAATTTTTCAAGTGTACAAATAGAATTGTAGCGAACAATTTTATAATTACTCAAGATTATTTTATTGTATCGGAATGAAACAATTGTTGGATTTAATTATTTTATAAGGTATTGAAAATTACTAGTCTTTATAATTGCTCAGTAGTTTAATCAACTGTAGATGTTCTAAAATATAAATAAATTTGAAATTTTTTTGGCGTATGAAGATTTCTAAATTTGCAGATCAATAAATTTTTTAATTCCTAGGTTTAAAAGTTTGAATATTTGTATATATCGAAATTAAAAAATGTGTGTCCTCCATAAAAGCCCGGGGTAGCTGCCCTGTTTGCCCCACAATAGGGGTGGTTTAGGGGAAAATAATGATCCTCCAGGGAGTGATCGGAAACTATGTCCACATTTTTTATTGGTCGTCGCTGATCTCAACCGAATGAAAAACAGAGAGATTATTTGATTAGAAAAGGACGATCTCAGATTGCGATAAAATTCGGATCTGTTTAAAAACAAACTATAATAAAATGGGACTATCATACTAAAATAGCAAAAGAATTATTATAATAAAATGACAAAAAAAATTCCTATGAATTAAACACAAAATATAAAAATTTATTTTATTACAGTATTAATTTTCATTTGTACTAATATCTAAATTATTGAAGTATAAAATTATACCTCCCTTGTTTATTATTTGATTCAACTTAATATTGCTGTAATCTATTTTTATATAAAAATTATCGAATTAATTTACAATTTATATAAACAGAAGTCATTAATTCAATATAATTCGAACGAATGTTTAAAAATAATATTTTCAAAATAGTACTTTATTAATAATATTCATCCCGCAAAATATTTATGGCAGAATTGAACTATGACATATTAAATTTTAGTATTTCACTTTAAGTCGATGAATGATTTGTTATATCATGACAAGTGTTCACGAACAGATTTCAATTTTACCGCCACTTTAAATCAAAATGGCGGAACATTTTCCGCAAGGGTCACCGTGAAGTTTCGAAGCTACAGATTTCGGATTACATTCAAATCTCCTTGAGATAAGAATGAAACGTTAAACATGGGTCGGTTTTCGATCGCGGAACGATATCGAGCATTTCTCGATTCGCTCTGTAATCGACATGATTGATTCGAGTATCCGCGCGATTCAAAAGTCGCTCGACATGCCGCCAGCCGTTTTGGTAAATCGCGCAAGGGGATTTCGCGTCACCCAGTTTCCACGATCGCTCTCAGAAACTTAAATGGATCAGATATTTCAGTGCACGACGGACTTTCCTACCGGGTAGTATGGATACATTTTGTATTCCCCTCTCGTTCTTTCTGTCTCTCCTTCTGTCTCGGTTTTAGTTCGCTATCGAGCAGGTCCGATTTAAACCCCTTGATCCGCTCGTCGTTGCGATACGAGTTACGAAGTTTCGAGTGCACTACGATATGAAAAGAAGCTACTAGTCGAATTATTTATCCGTTTGAAATATTCAAAACGAAGATGATCCACAATCTCAGTTTTGTCTCATACGCGGATTACTTGGTATCCTCGAACGATCTCGATACTCTTGTCAGATTCGACGCGACTCTAAATACAAACTGAAATATAGTTCCGCTGCTGATCAAAGGTAGACGATCACTTTTGTAGGATGCAATGATGACGAAGTTACGATGGGACTTAAAAAATTAAAAACTTTTGCTGTCTTTGAAGCTTGGTAGCTGAGAGAATACAAAATATAATATAAGATATACAGGGTGTCTCACAACTGGTGAATTAGTAACGCGTAGTAATTCAGCGTTTGGATATCCAACGCGTAGTAATCCAGCGCGTGGATATTCAACGCGTAGTAATCCAATGCGTAGTAATTCAGCGTTTAGATATCCAACGCGTAGTAATCCAGTGCGTGGATATTCAACGCGTAGTAATCCAATGCGTAGTAATTCAGCGTTTGGATATCCAACGCGTAGTAATCCAGCGCGTGGATATTCAACGCGTAGTAATGCAACGCGTGGTAATTCTAAGCGTAGGAATCTAACGCGTGGTAATATAACGCGTAGTTAACCAACGCGTAGTAATCCTACGCATAGCAATTCAACGTGTAGTAATTGTCTCATACGCGGATTACTTGGTATCCTCGAACGATCTCGATACTCTTGTCAGATTCGACGCGACTCTAAATACAAACTGAAATATAGTTCCGCTGCTGATCAAAGGTAGACGATCACTTTTGTAGGATGCAATGATGACGAAGTTACGATGGGACTTAAAAAATTAAAAACTTTTGCTGTCTTTGAAGCTTGGTAGCTGAGAGAATACAAAATATAATATAAGATATACAGGGTGTCTCACAACTGGTGAATTAGTAACGCGTAGTAATTCAGCGTTTGGATATCCAACGCGTAGTAATCCAGCGCGTGGATATTCAACGCTGGTGAATTTTTAATTGGTCCTTTTTCTTAACAATTTAAAAACGAAATTTCAAACCCCTAAACGAAGTTTCAATTTTTGCAAAGGGAAATGTTCTGACTACAACCCATTTCTGGGAGTAACATCAGTTGTGAGCCACCCTGTATAACATAATATAAATTTAATTTGTAATAAAATATTATTTGATATACTGATTTAAATTCATTCTGTACTTTCACTAATATGTAGCTTCATTAAATTTATTTATTAAAGTATAAATTTGTAAAGTTAATCGACGCAATAAATATTATGTATGTCGAGAATGATAAACAAGTAACTGCGTTTCATCAGCAATTTCAATCTAACTGTAATTTCCTAGCATACATAGACTGCTTCCAAAAACGTACAGTTCACAGTTGCTGCAATTAGTAAGAACTGGAGACTAGTATAGTTACATTTGGACCACGTAGTTCAAGCAAGAAACAAGTCGTATACCAAAAACCTATATTCTGATCAAACTCGGGAATCGAGTTAAGCTAAAGCAATTTCCCTGAATGCTTACAAATGCAATAATCAAACACTGAAGCTGTAATAATTACTTTTTATACGCGAGTTATTAAAACAGGTGTCAATTACAAATTTTTATTTTAAATTACGGAAATTGTTAGTATGGTACGTTTTTCATAAAATGTGATTGTGTAGTAAAATAGTAACATAGTATAAGAGTATAGTAGTAGTATAGTTAACAAGAAAAAACAGAAAAAATATCAAATGGTAAAATAATGGAATAGTAAAATAACAAACAATTTAAGAATATTAATGTATGATCCATGATATAATTATGTAAAATTGTAATTAATTAATTTCAAGAGAATAAATACCCTTTTTGAAACTCCGGTATTTTTACTAATTTTTTCCTCAAATTGTGATATCTGAAGAGTGTTCAGTTAAAATTTTAGCTGTTTATATTAAGCTTTCTCAATTTTTCTGTGACCGTCATTTTTAGTTATTCACGTTGCTGAATTTTTTTTTTGTTGAATAATCAAATTCACTGAAATCAGCTGTGAAATATACAGCGTGTCTCACAATTAGTGTAGGTCCCCGAAATGGGGGGTAGACGACATGATTCTAAATAAGATTTCCCTTTGCAAAAATGGGGTTCGAAGATTCGTTTTTGAATTATTAAGGAAAAACACGGACCAATCAAAGCAGGAGGATTACCCATACGCAGTCGCGAGAGCGATAGCTTCGAGCCTTGCGGCTGATGGCTACGCATTAGATTACCACGCGCTGGATTGTTACACACTGGATTACTACGCGTTGGTTAACTACGCGTTAGATTACCACGCGTTAAATTCCTTCGCATTGGATTACTACGCATTGAATATCTACGCGCTGGATTACTACGCGTTGGATATCCAAAGGCTGAATTACTACGCGTTGGATATCCAAACACTGGATAACTACGTGTTGGATTATTACGCGTTGGAAATCCACACGTTGGATTACTACGCGTTGGATATCCAAACGCTGAATTACTACGCGTTAGATTACTACGCGTTAGATATCCACACGCTGGATAACTACGTGTTGGATTATTACGCGTTGGATTACTACGCGTTGAATTGTTACGCGCAGGATTACTACGCGTTGGTTAACTACGCGTTATATTACCATGCGTTAGGTTCCTACGCGTTGAATATCCACGCGCTGGATTACTACGCGTTGCATATCCTAATGCTGAATTACTACGCGGTGGATATCCAAACACTGGATAACTACGTGTTGGATTATTACGCGTTGGAAATCCACACGTTGGATTACTACGCGTTGGATATCCAAACGCTGAATTACTACGCGTTGGATATCCACACGCTGGATAACTACGTGTTAAATTGCTACGCGTAGGATTACTACGCGTTGGTTAACTATGCGTTGGTTAACTACGCGTTATATTCCTACGCGTTGAATATCCACGCGCTGGATTACTACGCGTTGGTTATCCTAACGCTGAATTACTACGCGATGGTTTACTACGCGTTGGATATCCACACGCTGGATAACTATGTGCCAGAGAGAAGTGTTGTTGAGATCCCCTGTATAGAAAAATTAATAGAATATTATACTGATATGGCAGAATAGTAACACTGAAATTGTAGAAAAATAATAGTAACGATACATTAAAGTCTTAAAAAATTAGTAGTAAAAGTAGAGTAACAGTACACTGAAAGAAAAATCGTAGTATAGTGAAAATAGTAGAAGAGCATATCAGTTCAATTAAATAATAGTACAGTAACGCATACAGTTTAATTCCTAATCCCGAGTACATACCAAAACCAAATAATTAATAACAAAACTTAAACTTTCAATTCACCAAATTACCAATATTATCTGTTACCAATTAAAAAGTCTGAACAAACGCAATATTTATAAAAATATATGAAACTATATTTAAAAAACAATTATTTGCATAAGAAAAGCTCTCACAAAAAAATCTTCCCCGAAAAGTCTCATAAAATTCTGTACGACCTTGTCCTTGTTCCGCCACGCATTTTCCTCGTCCGACGTTTTTTGTTCACGCCTTCCATTATCGTGGATAATTTCCATCCAGTCTCGTTCCTTTTATCTCTTTTTTCCTCCGTTACAAAACTTTCGTCCTCGCAACGATTCTTTTATTTCAATCCTCCT